GCTATACGAACAAGGATGTATTAAGGGTTTGGCAGCAACACACCTGCATTGTCTGCGTGGCCGTCCCTTTCTGCTGCTGTGCATCCCTGTTGCGATGTCTAGGTCGGTGTCGATGTCACTTTGGGGCGTTGGGTTGGGGCTCGGGGTGTTGGCGCCTCGGCTGACATCCGTAACCACACGAGGGTCTGTTTACGGTCAATTCATGTGTTTGTAATAGCAAGTAAGAATGATTGTAAGTGGTGCGTACGGAGGGTCCCTTATTAGTAACCATAGCAACATGAGGATCTGTTAATGACCGATACACATTATTTTACTTGTATGTAGGTCTATGTGTAAGTGGTGTGTATGAATAGTAAAAACGCACCCATACCCTATAAACCCTATAAACCCTATGAACAGGGCTACATGTTCTTGGATGTACACCCACCCATACCGTACAAACCGGGCTAAAAGCCCTTGGGTACGTGCACACCTATACCATATATACAGGGGTAGATGTCCTGTATATAAGGATACACTCATACCGTATAAACAAGGCCCGATGTCATTGAAAAAGTACACACCTATACCGTATAACAAGATGATGAGCACACTCCCATACCGTATAAGCCGGGCTCCATAACCACGTTTCCGTTAACGGAATTCTCAGCGCCGTGTCCTGCAGTGGTATTGCTGTCTCTGTTTGCACACGGTCGACTACTCTCTTCCTACGTGACGAACAGGAGCACATTGTAAATTTGGGTTTTTTACCATTATTTTGAAATGTCTACAGATGTTGGTCAATTACTTAGCGTGAACTATTGAGGTGGGCGGGTGTAACCCTACTTGAAAAACATGACCACATTGTAAACTTGGTTTTTTTTAATCATTTTGAAACGACTACAAATGTTGGGCAATCACTTAGCCTGCACTATTGAGGTGGGCGGGATATTGCTTAGTTGAAACAGGTCTCTAGATTGGTGTGTGATCAGGATTAGCTACTCTATGTATGCATCTGCCTCTCACCGTGACATATTGAGTTTGATGGGTTGATTGATTAGAGTCGTACAAGATAGAAGACATGCGGTTGTATCATGGAAAAGAGTGGATCACTGTGCAAACTGTTGTAGCGTATACAGAGAGATTAGAGTTCAGATTTTCTCACAATGAGTACGGTGTACGTGATACGTATATATATATATGTATCAGTTTGTACTGTATTAAAGTATACATACATATATATATACAT